ATCCGACGCTTCTTGGGATCGATCTTGATCCTCGACTGGCGCTCAACAAGGCGGCCACCAAGCAGTGTACTGCCACCTCGCAGAGAATCGCGCAATTGCGCTCCATAGCGCATAAAGAGGCTGGCCCAGCCCCCAATGACCTACGCACTTTTGTTATTGGGTACGGCGCCTCCAAGCTGCTTTACGGCAGCGAGCTCATTTGGGCTGCGACGACGGACTCTGCGAAGAATGAGATGCAGCGGACATACGCGTCTCTGGCACGCATTGTCAGCGGAGTTCCCAGCACCACCGACCCGGAATCCGCTCTCCTGGAGGCCAACATGCCTCCGCTTCATGTCCTGTGCATACGCGCTCGCCTCTCCATTTTTGAGCAGCTGCGTGCATGCAAGATGGACTGGTTGCGGAAACCTCCGCCTGAGCCACCGCCCAGCGCTGGTTTCCGCGTCTCGCCCGTGTCTCGGGATGAACTTTATGCCTTTGTAGACGAGTGCACAAAGGATACTGGCATTACCGTGAACACACCGCGCGAGGAGCGGTTTTTCAAGAGTTCCTCCTCCCCCTGGGCCGCGAAGTTCGCTCATCGGGTAACTTTTGGGGTGGAACTCGTGATAGACCGCTCAATCACTAGTGTGAGTGAGCTGATGAGGGAAAAGCGCAGGGTCAGTGAAGAGGCTCTGGCGCAGCACAGCCACCGTGCATGGGTACTTGCAACAGACGGTGGTGTGGACTTTCCCTTGTCAGCGGGGGTTGGGATACTGCTCTCCTCCTTGACCTCCTCCGAGGTCATTGGGCGGGCTAGTATCAACTGCGGTGCATGCCCTTGCAGCTACAGGGCGGAATCCTGTGCGCTGCTCCTGGCTCTGGAAAGGCTGATTGCCCCCCGTATACAACAACGCACCAAAACGTTGCTTGTGGTGACGGATAGTCAGTCCCTTCTGGCGGCTCTCAACAAGGGCCCTCTCAGCCAGTCTGACTGGGTGGAAGACCAGATCTGGCGGCGTCTCTTGACGCTAACGCGGGCTGGCTGGTCTGTGCACCTGCAGTTCTGTTATGGACATTGCGGAGTACCTGCGAACGAACTCGCGGATCAATATGCGACTCAGACCATGGCAACTGGCCTGTACACAGAAGATCGTACTGCTCCTCTGTGGCATAAAGATCTGTTGGCGTGCCTCACCACACACCTCAGCAAACAGTGGTGTAGCAGCATACGTCAAGACACCCACCGCTATCAGCTATGTGGCCCCAAGCCCTCTGATCTAAGCGGCACAGACCTGATCACTGGAGAACTCATGTACCGATCAGAACTTGTGCATCTTGCACGGGCAAGATGTGGAGAGTCCGAGCTATGGGGTCGCCTATACTGGGCTATAAGAGACTGCATGAACAGCTGTCGTTTCTGCAATCTCTCACAGGAGCAATCTGCTGTCATCCGATCCCATTTGGATCCCACTGCGCCAGGCTCGGAAGATGTTCCCCCGACGGAACCGGTGGCTGCCACGTCTTCTAGCGGAAGGCGGCCGTCGGCCACGCGACGCAAGGAGAAATGCCCGCACTGTGACACAACATTGGTAAGTTTCTCGAACCTCACCAGTCACTGTCGGTCCTTTCACCCGGAACACCCCCCGCCCTCGCCTGAACTACGGTGTGACTTCTGCGAACTGGTATTCCCGTCGCGGAGAAGCACTGCACAGCACAGGACACGTTGTGCCCACAACCCGGATGCCATCCGACATCGCACCAGCGGCGCGCGACGACGGTCTTTGCTACCGCAAGACCAACCTCCTTCGACATCAAAGGCAGATGGCCCGCAGGAAACCCTGCACCATCTGCTATTCGAGTGTCCTGGCACCCTGTCTGCGAGGCAACGGCTTGGCATTGATGAGGACCTGCGATCCAATAAGTTCTCCCAATGGCAGTTGTTACACAGCAAGAAACTTTTGTCAATGCTCGATTGTATATTTGGTACACAAATGGCTATACACAGCTAAGGCGTGTTGGTAATAGTATATTTAAAAAATCCACGGCGCACGGCGCGATTCACACCCAGGGACTGTTTTTCCGCGTTCAACGGCAGCGCCCCAAAAAACGACCGTGCGATGATCGTGATGAGGGCGCGGGGGAACCAATGCCAAAGATTCCTCGGCACGAAGTGTGCACACCGTGCCCGCACTGCCCCTCAACCCTTCTTCGCCGGGCGCGCGCCCCAGGCGTTCGCGTCGGCAGCTTCCGCCGCAAGGGCTATGCGGGCAAAGCGCGCAAAAAAAAAAAACTACGCCGTGGTTCAGAAACAGCTTGTGTGTGAGCAGACGCCGGAGCATTTGCTTCCCTGCGCGGCCCGGCAATCCAAATTCGGCTTGGGGCGGTTGGAGGCGCCCGGGCCCCATTTTAGTAAACAACTGGCTCGGTTCCTTCGTGAGCTTTTCGGACTCCCAAGCCCTGAAACTTTTCCCGTCCGTGACGACAATACGTGTGTGGATGGCGTCGCTCCTTCGGCGGTGGAGGGAGCGTCTTTTATTTTATTGTTTTGCTCCTTTTGCTTTGTTCGACTTAAACGCCCTCTGGCGCGCCGCGCAATGTGCCAAACAAATCGCATAATGTATTTTTTTTTGCTCGATAACACCTTGGAAGAGGAAACGGGTCCGGAAAGAGAACTCGGATTATTATTATACTTCTTCGCAAAAATAGGAAAATGACATGGACACATCTCATCTTGAAGGAGGTAGAGGTCCGGTCTGCCGAATGAAGACGGCTAAGATTGAATTTAAAAAAAAATTGTAAACCCTTTAATTTCCTTTTTTGCACCTTGGGCCGCGAGAGATGCTGCGAGGGAC